AGTGGACAGCCGCTCCCCCCTCCCAACCCCTCTCCCAGCCCCTCTCCCAGCCCCCAGAAAGCCCTCTGCCCCAGGGACTGGGGATTGAGAGGGAGGCTGCGGAAACCTGAGAGCCGGAGGGAGGAGACAAGAGACCCCGGCTCATCCCTCCTTCCCTTCTCTTATCCCCTCCCCCATCCTGTGCCATTCTTTGAAAACGTTTCCTGTCTCCCTATTTCTCAATCCCTGGTTGGTGTCCCAGGATTACTCAGCCTCTCCAGCTTTAGTCACCCTCTCTACCCACTCCCAGGGTCCGGGGTGGGGGCAGAAGGGGGCTGAGAGGAAAGCTCCTGTCAGCCTGGCTGGGGCTGGGCTGGGCACGCCTGGGCTTTAACCCTCCAGCTGCCAGAGGACTCCGATACCCTTGTGAACTCAGCCAACACCATCAAAACTCCTGGTTCCTCCCCCCTCCCGCACACTCAGCGATGACGCACCGTATGAAGATGGTGATGGGAGCGCCGCGCTGACACTCAGCGGGCAAGTGCCCGGGCACTGGGCACGCGCTGTCCCCTTTAAGCCTCACCAAGCCCAGGGCTCTGCCTTTAAGGAGAGTACAGATCACCTGGAGATCTTGTTAAAATGCAGATTTGGAGTCTTCATTTCCAACAAGCTCTCAGCTGATGCTGAGCCAGGGCCAGAGTTTGTATTTCTCGGGACCCCTGCATCTTCTGTACAGCAGGAAGTTGGGCAGGACACTCACTGTCTGATGTCACCTGGCTCTGACATTGAGCCTGTCTGTCCCCGGATCACCACCTGCTCAGCCTCACAGAAGACTGCTCCTGCCTATCTTCTCTCCCCTCCTCTACCCTGAGAGGATTTTGAGGGCCACGCTGCTGCTGCTGGCAGTGCATGCCCTACATACCCTACATACGCTCACATACATGTAGGCCTCACCCCTGCTCTAACCAGTGCTGGCTGGTATGGCCGTGGCCTAGTCGTTTACTTTCTCTGAGCCTTGCTCCCCTAAAGTGTAGAGCGGGACTACACCACAAACCTCTTGGGGTTGTGGCGCTGAGGTGAGAAGCCATCACACCTGAGCACCATCTAGCAAAGTGCTTGGCACGGAGCAGACGTCAGTTGCTGCTCTGAAAGGAATGCCTGGAGGAGCATCCGCTCCTGGCCAATAGCAGGACCTCTAAATGCCAGCTCTGTGCCAGGCACTGGTTGGAGAAGGAAAGGAGGGCACACAAACCATGGCTGAAGGCCCCCAGGAGCCGACAGTGTAGTGTGGAAGCCAGAGAAAGGCCAGGGCAGGATCTGAGAGCCAGAGCCTCAGCCTGAGAGAAATAGCAGCGAGCATATCTTAAGCCCTTGCCTTAGGTGAATAGGTAACGGAGCTGGGAAGCAAACCCGGCCTGTGGGCCCAGAGCCCCTGACCTCCACCCACTGGGGTAGATGGTCTCCCAGTGCTCGGCGGGGGCGGGACCGGGTGCTTTGCAGGATTACTGAACTGCTTGTGCTATAAGAGAACGACTGTCACTGTCGGGGACCCAAGGTTTAGCCCCTGACTTTCCTCTGTCTCTGCAGAAGCCGCTGACGGGAGCTCCACCCTGGGAGGGGGCGCTGGCACCATGGGCTTGAGTGCCCGCTACGGGCCCCAGTTTACCCTGCAGCACGTGCCTGACTACCGCCAGAACGTCTACATCCCGGGCAGCAATGCCACACTGACCAACGCCGCGGGCAAACGGGATGGCAAGGCTCCGGCAGGTGGCAACGGCAATAAGAAGAAGTCTGGCAAGAAGGAGAAGAAGTAACGCGGGGGCCGGGCCGGAGCCACAGCCGCAGGGCCGCCTCCCCCAACCAGCCCAGCCTCCCCCTACCTGGACCCAGGACGGGGTTTTCAGGGCTCGCTCCCAGGATCCTGGTGGGGCCCAGGCCATGCTCCCCTTGGGAAACAAACAAGTGCCCAGTCAACAGCCCCTTCTCTGCTCCAGGGGATTGAATATGCAAAGGGAGTTCTGCTGGGAACCCCCATCCAATCAATTGCCGTGCCCGTGGGGGTGGTGGGGTCAGTGCAGACACCATTTATCACACCTGCTTTAGTTGTAGCTGAGCTCCTCCATCTTCCAAATCCAGTCAGGCCCACCCGTCCCCTGCCTCCCTCCTACCTATTCACCCCACCCCACTCCTTCAACAGCTCCTTTTCCTTGAGTAGGGTGGTTGGGGTGTTGAGGTACCTGGTGACCTAAAAAGGCTCATAGTTCTGAAGAGTTGAAAGGCCATCATGGCCACTTGGCCTCTCCAATTCTCAGATCTCCCCCAAAGCATGGTTTGGTGCCAGTCCCTTCACCTCCTTCCAGACCCTGAGACCAAGCTCAAGTTTTGGGAGACATAGTCACCATTCCATGGTACCGATGCTTGCTGGATTTAGGGAGGGCACTTTGCTACTGTGCCTCTTCCCAATGCTCTAGGGACCAGTGCTTTGTGTTGTTTCGTTTCTCATTGTTTGATGTTTCCACTGCATGCTGCGACTGCCCTCCCCAAACAAGAGACTCCGTTGCATGTTCCGAGACAGTATCCAGTGGTAAGATAAAGAAGGGAAGGGTGCATATGTGGATGGGGGGTGGACAAACCCTGACCCATCAGTTAACAGGGTCTTGCAGGAGGCTCTGTATGTCCCCAGGGTACTGAACAGATCCCCATATTCCAGCCATAAACCAAGCTCCAGGTTGGACCCTCATCTACCACATGCAGGGCTCCACCCAAGCAGCCAGCTTTGGGCTGAGTTAGCAGCACCAACGGATTTAAACCGACCTTACAGTCCAAGGAAGGTTTGAACAGGTTTGGGACTGGGTTCCCTGGAGAGGTCAGAGGGGCCTCTGTGGGTGCTGGGTACTCCAGAGGTGCCACTAGCGGAAAGGGAGGTGCCCCCAGCAGGAAGGGAGGGCCATTGTTGGTCCCTGGGTTGGGGAGGCAAGGGGCTAGAGCAGGGACCAAGTGGACAGAAAGTCGCAGCCCAGGATCAGGCTTCTCCACGGGGCCCCTGCATTTCCCAAGCCTCGGTCCTTCACCTTGACAGGTGCCATTTCTTCTCTGTGAAGGCCACTGCCCAGGTCCTCAGTCCGCCCCCTAGTGGCCAGAGCCTGGTTAAAGTCCCCAGTGCCTCCTTGTGCATAAACCTTCCTCTGCCTACCCACTTCTGTCCCCCCCCGAGTCCCGTTCATCCAGCGGGGCTGCGCGAGAACCCCACCCTAGTCCTTAGAGTAGTGTAGAGACCCCCTCCCTCTTTTGGCTGGTGTAGAATAAATAGCCAATAGTGTAGTGCGGTGTGCTTTTCCGTGATGGCGAGTGGGCAGCGGGCGGCGGGCTCCGCGCAGCCGTCTGTCCTTGAATCTGCCTGCGGTGGCCCGTGCTGTGTTTCGTGCTGTGTCCACGCACTGCGGCGACCCCCTCCCCGGTACTGACTCCTATAAGCGCTTCTCTTTGCATAGTCACGTAGCTCCCCACCCCTTTCCTGTGTCTCACGCAAGTTTTATACTCTAATATTTATATGGCTTTTTTTCTTTGAAAAAAATAATAAAAAGGTTTCTTCTGAAAGATTGAACGTTTCTGGGTAAGAGATGGAGGGAGGCTCCCGAGGAGTTTGGATGAAGCGACGAGCTGAGGGGTGCAAGCTGGAAGAAGAGTGGGGTCGGGAGGCGATTGCGATGTTTGCATCTTGGTTGTGAGTCTGTGCATGACTGTCAAGAGTGTGTGGATGCAACAGCGTTGCGCATGTGTAATAGTGCGCGATTGACCGCGAGCGCGCTGGCGGATCTGTAGACCGTGTGTGTAATCGGCTGGCGGGTCCGCCGGGGGGAGGGGACATCTGAGCGTGGCGTGTCAGTGTGCAATCGAGCGTGCAGCTGGATGCTCGCGGCTCCCTCCGTTACCGTTCTAAGCGCCAGTCTCCAGGCAGAAGAGGAGACCCCGGCGCGGGGGCGGACGCGGGTTGGCGCCGGGCAAACTGCGTTGGAGAGGGGGCGGGGAAGGTCTCCTTAGTGCCCACCCCTTCTCCTCTGAAACTACCACCGCCAGCGCCCTCGCGGGCTTCGATGGAGGAGGGGGGACTCTCCTTTGCCTGCCCGCCCCCCTCCGCTGCCTAGGGGGTTTGGGAACACCGCGGGAGTGGGAGGGAATGCCAGAGCCGCTTCCCTGAAGGCCCGGTCTATATCTTGGGCCTCAGTTTCCCTTCTTGAAATTCACCTTTCCACTCGTCCCTTCGCAGCAAAGCCAAGAAAATTGGAGGGCTCATCGCTTTCTTGCCCGGGAGTTGGTGAGGGTGGTGAAAGGGACTGAAAAGGGTAGGCAGGAGATGAGATAGCCCACCCCAGGACCCCTCTCCCTCTCTCCCTCCCNCCCTCTCCCTCTCTTCCTCCCTCTTCTTCTCCCTGCTTTTCCATCCCCTCCTCAGCTCTCCCAGCTCCCCGCCTCCTCCGCCCGCCTCCCGGAGGCACAGTGGGATTCCGAGGTTGCTGCAGCCTGAGAAGCTGCTAGAAACAGGGAGGGGAGACCCCGAGGGCCGGAAGGACGTGAAGGCTGACCCACTGGGGCTAACGAGAGGATGGGCGAGGGTATATGCCCAACCGCCGGGAGGGAGGAGGCTGTCTCTGGGCTTCCTCCGCGTGGAGCCTCTCAGAGCTGGTTCATGCCTTTTGCCAGCTCCTTAAGTCTGTTGTCATGGAAACCAAGCCTTCCAACTAAGCATCTAGGGGCGGCTTTCCTGCGTGGGAGGGAGGGTGGTGCGCGCGGCTGCTGAGATGGAAGCGGGTTTTCGTTTCTGGAAGCCAGGCTGCAGAGGGCGGGGAGCCGGGCGCCTGGGTTCTATTCTAGGCTAGGCAGCCGGCTCGCAAAGCAGAGCGTGAGCAGCTGCGGTTGGTCCCCTAATTGGTATGTGTGCCTATATAGCTGGGAGCCAGAACCGCCTGGCCTCTGCGCCTAGGGAGAGAGGAAGTGGGCAGCCCACCCCCACGCCCCCAGCCCTACTGGGGAGGCAGCTGCCCAGGCTCCAGGGCTATTTAAAAGGCTTTTATTTCCAGTTCCAGAGCTTGCCCAAATGGGTTTGCGGTCCTCTGCAGGCCCCTCCCTGCCTATTCCGAGCCTGCTCATAGATTGTAAGGTTTCTTTGTGCAGGTCACAACGTGCTCAAACAAGTATGACGCAGAGCAGCAAGTCATCTGGAGCACGACCTCTGGCTTCTGACCTCTGGTGGGCAGGCTCAGGTTTCCACCCAGAGTAAGCTCCTCTAGTCCGGAATGTGGTCTGTGGCCACCAAAGAGGAGCGGGGGATGGGAGAATGGGAGTCAGGGAGAGACACAGGTACTGCCAAGAAACTGTGACTGACACCTGGGGGCATGGAGAGCTGGGGAGCTAGAACTGGATTTTAAAAAAGGGCTCTGCCCTAGCCACTTTGGCTCCAGCGGTTAGAGTGTCGGCCCCGACTGAAGGGTCCCGGGTTCGATTCTGGCCAAGGGCACGTGCCTCCATTGCAGGCTCAATCTGCCACCCCTGCTGGGCGGTGGGGGCAGCAACCAATCAATGTCTCTCTCACATCGATGTTTCTCTCTCCCTCTCTCTCTCTCTCTCCCTTCACTCTCTCTGAAAAGCAATGGAAAAAATATCCTCAGGTGCGGATAAGAAAAACGGGTTCCAAGCCAAGAGGCAGCAATGAGGAAGGGCAGGGGGCCTGAACTGGGGCCCTGCTCCTTTATGGGGGGCAAGTGGCAGGGCAGAAGCCATCATGTATTAAACATCTCTAGGCCTCAACCATAGTTTCTAGCACACGGACACCTTGAGCTTTTTGACAATGATCTGCCAGGTCAACCAGGGATTTGAGGCAGGACAAGAGGGAGGGGCCTGGGTGAGTGAAAAGAACTCGCTCAGGAATGCACACAGGAGGCTGCCGGCAGTAGTTTCAATGCTTTATTAACAGTTGGAAACAAACCCAACAAACTGGAGGTGATGACATCCCAGAAGCCCGAGAGGCGAGGGAAATAGGTTTGCATTTTGTCCCTTTTTAAAATTTTTTATTAAATGCATCTTAGCAAAAGTAGATTAAAAAAGAAAGGGTCAAAGCCCCAGATGTCAGCAGGGAGAGGAAGGAGACCTAGGGAGCAGCAGGGCCCTCATACCAGTCTTCCGAGAATAGCAGAAAGAGCTGCTGTTGCCCCTTCACACAGGCTCCAGCAACCAGAACCTTCTTCTTGGCGTCAAGGCCTCGGTGCAAGAGCCTTTAGTCTCCCCTAAGCTCCCCCTGCGCTAACAGCCATCCATAATCTGGGCCCAGCCTTAAGAGTGCTATTCTGTCTCCCTACCGGGGTGGGAAGATGAAAGGAACACGGGGTGGGCACAGTGTCACCTTGAGCCAGAGTCTGAGCTTCCCGTGGCTGGGGCCACTGAACAGTTTGGCCTGCCCACTGTTCAGCGGGAGCAGGGGTACGAAGTGTGGGTGCACTCCTGTGCCCACTTCCCCAGTGTCCAGTTAGCATCTGCACATTTGGCTTGATAAATATATTAAATTTATAAAAACTCTGTGGTCTCAGAGCTCCCATTACTCTTAGGCGTGGTTCAGTTCAACCACAGAAGAGCTTCCTCCTCTGCCAGGGTTGGACGCTGGGCGAGAATCTGCACTGGCCTCAAGGGCCCAGAAGGCTTGAGAGCCGAGGTGGAGGTCCAGGGGTCTGTTCAGCATTAGGCCTGCGGGGAGAAATCCCAAGGACTCTGGAACCTGCCATCAAAGCTTCTTACATTATGGAGGAGAAAGGGGGAAGGAAGAGTTATTTTTCTTTAAAAAAAAAAAATCTCATACAAAAATAGATCCATTTGCTAAACAATTTCTCAGCCAGGAGGCTCCACCTCCCACTTCCTTGGAGACAGAGGGTGAGGTGTTAGGATGGTCACAATACAGCCCGCACTCCAGATGAGATGCACCAAAGCTCTGGGGAGGGCACGAGGAGGGACCATGGCTCAGTAGCCAGGGGCTGGTGCAGAGCGTCCAGAGAGGCAAGGGCACAAAGCATGGCAGCAGGCTGCGGCAGGTCCCACAATGTCTCTATGCCCAGCCTGCCTGCCCACAGGCTCTGGCCTAGGCCACAGTGGAACAGATAAAAGTGGTTCAGATTCTTTTTGTTTGGGGAGGCCTTTCTCAGGAAGGTGGAGTAAGGGTGGCATTTGCTCCCCACTTCCTTAGAAGCAGCTCCCAAAGCCACACCACTAGTAATAAATAACAACAGCCAGGAGAAGAAAGAGCAGAGAGGGAGGGACAGCAATGAAAGTTGGGATATAGCCCAAGGTTCACAAGCCCCATGCTGTTCTCAGGGCCAGAGAAACCACAAAAGAAAAGCTCAAAGCCAGCAAGATTGACCTATGGGAAGCCCACTGGAAAGCCAGGGGCTGAGAAAGCAGGCAGGGCCTTGTCTGAGACAGGCCTCAGAGTAACAGAGAGGAGACACTTGGGGTTAAGGCAGCAAACACCGAGCCTGCTTTGGTAATGCAACAGCCAGGGCTGGTTGGGTGGGCTCAGGCCTCCCCCATACTGCCCTTTCCTTCTGGCCTCCAGGCAGCTGAAGCCGTGTGTGATGTACATAGAGCAGCAGGCCAGAGAGAAAGACAGGGTCAGGGCGATGGGAGCGGCCACCCCACAGGGATATCTCCATGACCCTTTAGGCACAGGCTGCAGGGCTGGACAGTCTGGGGCTCCACTGAGGAGCTGCCATGGCCGCAGGACCCAGATTAGCTTGCACGGCCAATCAACTCCATGGGTTCCTCCAGGATTGTGGGGACTCCATCACTGGTCTTGGGCACCTTTGCAGCAACAGCAGTCATGGCATCGTCCTTGGTCAGCTCCGAGGCCAGCAGAGATGTGACTGCACACCCGGCCTTCCTGTTGGCTGCAAGAGAAAGCATAGGAGAGCTTGTCCACAGAAGGCCCCTCTGAACTCTGGGGCAGACATTTAGCAAGACGCCATGCAAACGCTGCTGTCCTGTCTGGTTCACAGAGGCCCTTATTTTGAAGGAGGGGCAGAGACCTAAAATGATGTGGAGTATACCCTTGGGTGGGGGTGTCGAGAATATAAGAGAGTATCCTGCAGGCAAGAGAGCAAGCCGTGCTCTTGCTTTCCTGTGTGAAAACAGCACAGAGGTTTGAATACAGCTAGACAGACACAACAGGGTTCAAGTGTTAGCTATGTAGCTTAAAGAGAGCTAAGTACTCAAAACCGGCGCTCTCATCGCAATGTTGGTGGAATGAAATAGCCACGAGCTTAGTAAACAGTTGTTTTGTCCGCAGTTCCTAGGCCAAAACCACTTTCCGTCTGCCCCAGGAGGGCTGTCCCAAGCAGAGAAGGCCAGGGGGACTCCTGCAAAAAGGAGCAGCAGCCACGCGCTGACATCACATGCATGTCACACTCCCACGAGTCCCACCAACCCTCCCTCCCTCTCCCCACATGTCCACACACCTGGCTCTCTCCACCTCCTCAAGGGTAGCAGCTGTGATACAATTAGAGTTCGTGTGTGTTGGGGGAGGGGTAATGGGTAATAAAAGGTAAGTCGGGGAAGGCAGAGCTAGGGTCAAGGATGGCCCCTACAAAGAAATCTTGGTCCCGTGGCTGAGGGACTGGAAGCTCCAGGAATCATGCTAACAGCAAGAGGAGACCCAGTAAACCCCTGAGTTTCTGTCCTCACTGCTGGAAGCCATCCCGAGACTCATACTCATGAATGGGACCCAGACTTACAGCTCCAAACCCTCAACAAGAAGGCAGTTTCTTGGACCATGCCCATCTCATGCCATCCGCCTCTTCCCACGCCCCGGGAGCAGCATGGAGAGAGCACATGTACACCAAGAGCTGCCTGCCTGGGGGGACGGAGGCAGACACAAAAGGCCACAGACGCTCTAATTCCATTTCTATAAAATGTCTGAAATGGGCAGATCCATAGAGGTAGAAAGCAGATTAGCTGTTGCCAGGGGCTGGGGGAGGGGGGATGAGGTGTGACTGCTAACGGGATGGAGCTTCCTTTTGGGGGATGAAAATGTTTTAAAATTAGACAGTGGTGATGGTTGCACAACCTTGGGAGCATACTAAGAAACACTGAATTGTATACTTTAAAGGGTGGACTTTAGGCGTGTGGTTTATATCTCAATTTAAAAAAAAGAGCTTGCTGGGTCATGGGAAAGCTGAGTGGAGAAAGCAGTGTCTCAGTCTTAAAGGAGCAGGGGCAGATGAAGCCGGGCTCTCCCAGATGCAGCCTTCATTCCTACCGCATTCCTGCGCGCCGGCAGCTGTGTCCCGCCCCCCGGGAGGGGGGGAGGAAGGAAGGGGTCCAGAGGAGCCAGGGAACAAAGCACCCAGAACAGCTCTGCCTTCTTTAGACCAGCAGAAAGCTTTGGGGAGCGCAGAAGCCAGACAGGCTTAGGGGGCCCAAGTCATCACCAGGGCTGTCAGCTTCTCTGCAGAAGTTGGCCCAGCGCCACTGTGTTCACACGGCAAAGGCTACCTACAGGTCAGCAGAGAGCACACAGCATGCCCGCAGGTTACCAACTTACAGGTCTCCTCCTCCGCCCAGAGGCACGAGGGGCTGTCTAACAAGAGAAAGAATAGTGAAGGCGCTGACTCAGGCACAAGGCGCATCTGGTTACAGGTGGAAGGAGAGTGACCTAGACTCTGGGGCTTTCTCGTGAACCTCTCCTTGGATTATGAACATAAATCAAGGCCTCAGTGACTGGCAGGGCAAGAGAGACATGTACTGGAATGTGACTAGCATGGTCTCCATGTATACGCTCCTCCTGTCTTCCTTCTTAGTCCCGCCAGCAAATTCTTCCTCAGACCCGCTTAGTTTCCACTCTTTCCTGAAATACTCCCTTCTCTCGTCCCTACTTCTTGTGTCTAGAGGAGCAGTAATAGTTCCCTTTTTTGTTTTTAATGGTTATTTTATTTTGTTGTTTTTGTTTATGTTTTTTTATTGATTTCAGAAAGAGGAAGGGAGAGGGGAAGAGAGAGAGAAACATCAATGATGAGAGAGTCATTGATCGGCTGCCTCCTGCACACCCCCGATTGGGGATCGAGCCCAAAACCCAGGCATGTGCCCTGACCGGGAATCGAACCACGATCTCCTGGATCCTAGGTCGATGCTCAACTGCTGAGCCACGCCAGCTGGGCAGTAATAGCTCACTTTTAATGAGCCAGCCGATAGTAACTCTCTTCTTCCAACTGCTCCTTTGAATTTATTCTACAGGAGTTAAGAAAATCTGCAACTGTGTGTGTGAGAGAGTCGTGAGGACTGTGTATGTGCTGGAAATAACATTGACTCCAGAACCCTGGCCTTCAGGGACACCTGTGCTCAGCAACAAGGGAGGTGTTGGAGTTCAAGTGGCACATGTCTTAGGCCTCTTCTAGCTCTGGTTTCTTCCTCTAATCTAAGATACCAGTTGTACCTAATCAAGCAGTGTTTCCAGATTTTTCTAGATTCAGAAAGCTTCTGGTGCATTACAGATTCCATAAAAATTAGGAGTGGATGGTAGGTGGGGAGAAGACCCAAAGTGCCCTTTCAAATCTAGAGAGAAGGTACTCTAGGGATGGACACGTATGTAGCCTAAGGTCAGCATTAGAAATGAGAGCTCTTGTGGGAACTGGGAACAGAATCGATGAACCCCAGCTTCCACTGTGTCTTCAGGGTCACAGTTAAGCTGAAGAGCTTGAACAATCCAGAAAAACTGATCTCTCTCCCTCCTTTCCCTAACATGGGTACTTTTTAAGACCACTGAAAAGTAGCCACAGAAGCAGATACACATTTTGACTGCATGGGATCAGGCAGGATCATTAAGCCATGAGAGAGCAGTCCCACAGACTATGGGGAAAAGGGAACAATCTTGAGACATCGGTCAAAGCTGAGGACAGGTTCCCATAAGTTAGGGGTGGGCTAGGATAAAAACACCAGCAAAACCAACCATATAACACTAGCATAGATGAATCAGAAAAAGGTTAATGGTTTGGAAAGACATTTATAACACCGGCGGGGAACTACTACTAAAGAGGAAGCACTCTTGTTAATAAGCTTCCTTAGGGAACAGGAAACTAGGCCAGGCGGGGCGGGGCAATCATTACCATCCTACAGAACTCATTATTGTCTTGTCTCCTAATTATAATTCCTGTCCTATTTTTACAGAAGTAGAAGGAGAATGAGAGAGGGCTGGGAAATTCTCTCAACCTTCTACAGACAGGTGGTCATCAGAAAACTCCCTGAAGCAATTTCCCCATGTCCAGGGCTCTCCTTGCTGGGAGGTACGAGAGACTGTTTCTGCCTACACAGAAGGGTCGCTGTCATCTGCCGTCCAGTTGTGCAGGCTTAGTGGAAGTAGGCCTGAACTTGGCTTCAAGAAAGTGGGCTATAGCTCTGGCTCTACCATTAGCCAGCTCTGTAGATTTGGGCAAGGCCTTATCTGGGCCTTAATTCCCTTTACCTATGAGGTTAGGTGCTAATCACTAGAGGGCCTAGAGGCTTTCCCAGCTCTAAGGCTCTGTTAGTGTAGGTGGAGTCTTCAGGGAAGCAGGGAAGTAGCAGAGGGAAGGAAAGGGAGATGAATTTCTTCCTTCCCTGGACTTTCATCCTATGAGCAGATGGCCTGTATAAGAGGCTACAGTTCAGACATGGAGATAAAGTTGAGTCATTAAAACCACAAGGAGACTCAATCATCAGCCTGAAATAGTAGCAGTGATACAATCACATGGATTCTTCCCCCCTGACACTCAAACCACTGTTCTCCAGCACCCTGCAGATCCCAGCAGTTTATGTGTCACTTTTAATGAGCCAGCCTGATAGTAACTCTGCTCTTCCAGCTGCTCAATGGGTCTTTGTATACTGGTCACTCCCTCAGGTCTCCAGAGACCAAAGATTTTTTTGTAACATTCCTTTAAATCTGAGGGAGAAGGCTAGTGTCTTTGAATGGGGACAGCTGCCTCTGTGCGGCTGAGGAGGGCTATAAGGCAGATCTGCTTGGCTATACTTGTTTTTTGGCTCAAAGCAATTGGCCAGGAGGAACTGCCAGAGGCAACCAAGCACCAGCTAAGTCCAGCAGACACCCAGGGAAACCCACAGCCACCAGAGCCTGTAGAGTTTGAGAATGGGGCCTTCTGGGCCCAACCTTTCCTATTCTCTTAATCCTATTGTCACACAAGTAAAAGATATTAAAGCTGGAAAGGGCCCTAGAGGCCATTTCAGTCCAATTCTCATTTTATATATGAAAAAACTGAGTCCCGGAAACTTGTCTAAGGTAACCTAGACAGCATCCGAGTTAGACTTGACTTGGGGTTTTTGATCCTAGTCCTGTGCTCTTTGCACTCTACATTGATGCCTTCCGTCTACATTTACTGGAAGGCCACATCACTTTATATGATGTGAATGCACCCAGGTCTAAAGAGCTTACCAGAGTAACTAGAAATGTCTCCCTGAGAGATGCTCCCAGATATGTTCAGGTGTGTTCAGTGAACTCAAAGCCCAGAAAGATAAGATTACAGGATGGAGCCAATTTAAACGGCATGTACTTCTCCTTTTCACCCTGTTTTTGCATCTCTATCCTATTATGAGTCTCCTCCAATTCCCCTTCCACTGGGAAACAATACTTTGACTAATTCCGGTCCGTTGCTGAAGTTATGTTCCGACAGGATCCCTGCTTCCTCTGCACGGGAGTCCTGGTTTCCCACTCGGGAGGAGTGGGCTCCCCAGCAGAGGGAAGCTGTCTGGCTGCCTGTGTACAGGAAGCACCTGGGATTGGAGCAGCTCCACAGGAAGAGGCTTGAAGGGAATTCCCCACTAAAAGTCTGATGCAGGCTGGTGCTTAGCTGAGAGGACAGAGGAAAACAGTGAGCAATGTGCTTTCGTTTGGCTAGAAATGCTAAATGGAAGGCCACATCACCTTATATGGTGGATGGGAAACCATGTCACAGGACCTCTAAAGACTAAACACTACCATAAAAGAAATACTACCAGCTGCATTCTCTACCCAAACACTGATCTAGAGGACTGAATGCCTTGTCCCTCTTCCTCTCTAGGGAGCCTGTACTCAGAGGATGCCAGAGCGTAGGTAAGAGTCATAACAGAGACCCTCCAGTTTAGGGAAGGTTCTGATGTCACAGAAGGGAATTTCCCTCTGGATATTCCCAGTATGGGTAGAAATAGGCAGTCTGTCATTACAGATGAAACTCACAGTGACCTACAAGATTTGGGCCAGGACATAGTTTATGAGCTAGTATGCTCTATATCCTTGATCTTCAGGTCCCTTTCCAGGCTATGACCAGTATGATAAGCCCTACAGATTCCACTGTGTTAACAGCTCAGTACTGGCCAAGGCACAACTCTTCCTCTTTACAATAACCTGAAAGTAAAGGTCATCAAACAGGCCTACAAATGTACCAGCCAGGGACTAGGGTCCATAGCTCTAACACTCAGAAGTAGAAGCCCTTCATGATGCCTCTTCCGTAATTCCCACCCTTCAACCTATGAAAGCAGCTATCACTCCTAGTCACAAACTTTACTGACACAGTGGTGCAGGTCAATAACACATGAGGGGTAGCCTTGGCTTTATCTTCTGGACTAGTCAGTAGTACACTTCCTTCAAAGGAAACTTATCCGCTGATCCTCATACTAATGCCTGGGTCACTTGTCCTCCTATCCCCATAATTCTTCTGAGAGGCTCTGGCTCAGTGTAATCCACGTAAGTGCTCTGAAGGTTGGGAGAGGAGACTGTAGGGGAGTAAAATGGGGAAGGCAACTGCACCCAAGGGAAAGGTAGTTCTCAGACACAGCACAATCCTGCCATTGAGATGCTCCTCTATATCTGGGGGAAATGATGCCTAACCTTCTCCCCACAGGACTTTATGCTTTTTATTAGTCTCTATCTCTTTCGCTTGTGAACTTGAAAGTAAGGACTCCTCACTTATTCTTTCTTCATATTTCCTAACTTCTTTGTATACATCTAACTTTGTATTTGGGTCAATTCTGTTCATACACTCAAACGCCCACCCAAATCTCTGTGTCCTGAATCATGGTTCGCCTGCTCCAGGTTACTGCTGCAAGGGTGGGGAGAAATGCAAAAATCATCAGATGTAACTGATCTGCAGTCAGTCCCTCAAGCCCTAGTTCTCCAAGCCAGTACTTTCTAATATGGGAGGAAGAGGTCTACACAATCCACTCCAGATGCAGGGACTACTGTGGGGAAGTTTCTAAACTCTCAGAGCATCGTTACCTGCTCATCAGCCCAAGAAAAGCAGGACCAGAAGTAGGGGCCCCACCCCCTTCACTGGGGGAAGGCTCCATTTGCTTGCTTACCCTGACGAGGTCCTCTCTTCCGTCGGAACGCTGCGCCAGACTGCAGGGCTTCCAGAAGACTGTCCATCACACCTGTTTCATCACCTTCTATTAGGAGCAAAGATGGAGATGTAAGCTTTTCAGGCTGAGCAGAGTGCATGTGCTGAGCCCCACACAAAATGCATGGCTTCTGCCTGGTGTCTGCTTGGCTTCCCCTTGCCCAGGATGGCTTGGGGCTCAGAGCAGACAGAAGGCTCAACCTCAAGCCTCAGCCCATGTTTACTTGTGTCTGTTTGAAAATGGTTCAGACAAAAGGTTTCATTGCCTACTAACTGCTACAAACCTTAGGATATTTTCCTGAGGTACCCTCTCCTTCCCATCCCAATCAGGATGAGCACAGAGAACTGCAGAACTGTCCCACTCCGAGACCACAATATGGATAGAGATGGGGTTATGAAATGAGCAAGGAATTATATCACTCTCTCTTTAGCCTAAAGTGCTTCACTCCAATTTACATAAACCTTGCATGCAGCACCTGGTTCCAGTTTCAGAGCAGGGTGGAGAAAAGATGAGAGAGAACTGATCAAGAGTGCATTTCACTGAAGTACTGCCCCCAGTGGCTGCATTGTCTGGATCTAAGAGAAGCATCTAAGAGAAGCATCCTGATTGGAATACAAAGAGTTAATGTAGAATCCTTGTTCCAGCCTGGCTCTGTTTCCATGGTAACAGCTTAGGGTGGTGAAATCTGAAACTCTGAAATCCCAAGGAGCCTGGAGGCTGCCAGCTTCAAGGCTGGGCTCACTGCTCTGAGCGCCACCTGCTGGCTGAACATCATCAATGCAGCTGACCTACATTCCAACCTCATTTGCTAGCCTTGGGCATCCCAGGGCCAGGACAAGGTCAGCTGTGTCACCTGATGACAAGGTACTGCCTTCATCCCAAGTCAGTTGAACTCTACCTTGCCCTATTATGTCCTAGACAGTACCTGGGGGCAAACCCCACGTGCCTGAGAATAGGGGAAGGGGAAGAATATTTGCTGTAGGCTTAAACAGCATTACTAGAATAGTTCATGGCTTATACACAACTGGGGTAAGAGCAGGAAATTGCTTCCCAGAAAAGTATGAAGAAAAAGTGAAATGTTCCTGCTGCTTCAGGTCCCTGACATTACAACAACAGGAAATGCCAAACAAAGTCCCTAGAGCAAAAGGTGTTAGTTAGAGCAGCCCTTGCCTCTTGTGCTCAGCAAAGCACTCTCATTCTTGCCAAACCCGGCAGCCCTGGAACCCCTTCACTTAGATGGCCTCTCAGGTTCAAGAAGGGTGGCATCAGCTCAGTGCCGTGCACAATGTGTGCTGTATTTCCGCTGGAGCAGCCAGAGGGGGGCAGGGAATCAGCAGCAGGAAAGAAGCGGAGACAGGAAACAGAGAGTCAGTAATTGAGGCCATATGTTTCAACAAAGACATGCTTCTGGTAGTAAAGTAGAGATTTTGCTGAAGACAGAAGAGGGTGGCCAGCTCCTCTGCCCCCTTTCCATAAGTTCAATCCACTTATAATCTGAAAGGTGTATACGATTATACTGAAGTACTTGGGACACAGTACTGAGTGAAATAAGCAGAAAGGGAGGGCAAGCCACCATTAAAAGACAGAAGCAGGGCCAGGAAAACATTGTGGGGAAAAGAACAAAAGATTTAGCAGAGGGTATGAAAATAGGCCAGAGGCGCTTTGGACAGGCAGAAGGAAAGAGTACGTGTTACAGCGATATTAAATCACGGGGGAGATGAGAGACAATGCAGAAACCAGCAAAGGCGAGAAGAGGAGGTGAGCACGGAGAGTTGGCCTGTGCATGTAACTGCGCCAGGGTGAAAGTCCAGCATCAGGATCTTGGAGGGAGAAGGCTGCCAGCAATCACTTGCCAGGAGCTGAGCTCAGACATGAGCTGTTCTCTCTGGCCTCCAGATTCTAGACAGAGAAGCTTTCCAAATGTTCCTGTCTAACCCCTCAGGCTTTCTCTTCCACTTCTTACCTGCATTCATGTCTATGAGCTGCTCTCTCTTCTGTTGCTTCTCCAGCCGCTCCTTCTCTGCCTTCTCCTTGGCCAGTTTTGCTCGCCGCATCTTTTCCTCCGTCTCCCGCCGCTTCTGGTTCTCCTTGACTGCTTGCTGTGGAGAAAATGAACCAGGGGCATGCACACACTCACACATATGCACACCCACCAGCAACCAACACGAACCCGTGGAAAGTGAAAAATGTTCTCAAGACTCAGTCGGCAGGTATTCCTTGCTCACCACAAACATATTCTTAAAGTTGTGCAGATCCATAAAGAATTCTTCCACAGACACCTTCTTGGGGTCAAAGAGGAAGTAGTCGCCCAGCTCCTTATAGAGGTTCTCCATGTTAGAGTGCATCATCCGCAGCTTGTTGTACTGTTCCTGCGCATCCTTCACAAAGTTGTGCAGCCATGGAGTCAAGGACAGGGCTAAGAAGCAGACCCACTTTTCAGCCCAGAGGAAGACAAAGATGCGTGCTGACATGCACAAGGATGTTCAGTACAGCGCTGTTTATCTTGAGGCAAAAGCCAGAAGCAATCTATATACCCACAGAGGGGCATGGTAAACCATCAACTATGGTACAACTACAGAATAGGAGGTGGCAGCTAAAAAGGGGCTGTTCCGCATACAGTGCTGTGGAAACAGGGCTAAGACAGATTGTGGGCAAAAAGCAATACAATGCACACAATTTTTGTATAAAATAAATTCATGAAGTGCAAATCGGAAAGAAGTCCAGTGACAGTGAAACCGGGCAGATGGCAAAGGATCAAGGGGGACTTTTAGTTTATCTGCATGGTTTGCCTCCCCTGCTATAACAATGGAATGCTTTCAAAAACTATGTATTTAATGAAAAAGAAATTTTTTAAGAGGGAAAAATTGTATATCACCTGATCTATCCTGTTGGCAGCACCCCCCATCCCCCAAAGTTCCATCCCTTTCTAGGGGGCAATTCCCTACTTTCAAGAAAGGATATAGTCATTTTTTCAACAAACTTGTCTTTCTCATCTGTGGCAGCTGGGAAATTCTGAACATCACGCTCCACATCAGAAATCTGTTTCTTCATCTGATCTAGATTCTTTTGCAAGTTTTCAGCAGAAACTAAAGGAAACACAAGGGTAGGGAGAACTTACTAAGTTATGTCTTAAGACCTTCAGCTTCCGCCCCCCAGGGCACAGCTCCAGTCTGTACGTACAGTGGGTGCTTAATTATTCTAGTTCTCTTATGTACTTTCTAGTTGTTTCTCACATTTTTCCAGTGAAACTATAAATTACTTGATGACTGAGCCTCCAGCCTCCCTCTGCAAGCTGTACCGTACAGAGAAGAGAGGAGAGGCTTCATTTAATTCAACAAAAATCTATGAAATCCCCTGCGATCCTGATTTCATTTATTTTAAAGAATAGGATTTGGAGGAAGGAAACATACACAGAAATAAAGAGACAGGAAAGAAATCTGTTCCCATTTCTACTGAATGCTGCTTTTTGTTTGCCTAATTCCAGGATGGTGAGGCCTAGTTTTTGTTAAGCTAATCTAGTCTCTTTTTTCTGAATGAGAATAAATGTTGTTCTAGACTAACACCACCTGTCTTTCTACAGCTGTGTTTGGTGTTTCCCCAGGAAAGAGTGCTTCCCCTTGTACACATGAGGACCTCTCTTCTGTCTGACCCTCCTCCCTGTGGCTTAGACATCAAGCCTATTCCTCTCTCTTTCCCACTTAAAACAGTCTGAACTGAAAATAATCTAAAATCTACACTCTTATTTTCTTCCCCATGCAGAGATTTGTGGGGCTTGGAAGCACTTTCTAGCTTCACCCAACCTGCCCACCTCGGCTGGCTTTCTCCACATGGGCAAGTTCATCTGGAAACTTGAGGACATCGGGATAGTCATTCTCACACAACTCAGCCAGGAAGTGCAACAATGTCATCTTCTGATCTGTGGACTTGGTGTCTCGAAGCTTGGGTAAAAGGAGAAATTGTTAGTCCCAACATCACCTCAGGCCAATAGCAGTTTGCCACATTGTGCTAATAGAGGCCAGCAGCCTTCCCTTCTGTTGCCCCCTCTAACCCTCTGGCTCACCTTGCAGAGGAAGCTGATGTTGAAGCCGAAAGCCCCAGCATTCCTGGAACCAGCATTCATAAAGTTGCCGACAAGCAGGGTGATCTCCAGAAGGTTAGAGAAGTTCTCGCTCTTCCGCACCTCCTCACACGCGGCAGTCACGGAAACAATCTCTGGCTTGATGTTCTCCACTTGCTCACCGAACTGTAGCCTGAAGAGGATGGCATTGAGGCGAGGCCGCAGGCGGGGCACAGTGCCCATCTGGGAGGAAGACAAGCAGCTCCATCACAGCCAGCAAAGGCAGAAAAGTAAGAAAAACCTACAGGTTTGAGTTGCCTATGGGAGGATCGGAGTTCCAAAGAAGCGAGGAGAGAGAGAAAGATAGGTTCACTCACCACCACGCCAAACTGCTCCGACTCTGCCAGATCATCATATTCGTCCTTCAGTTCAGAAAGCATTTTTAACTGCTCTGGCTCTGGCATCTGCTTAATGAGGTTCTGAAAGAGAGAAGGGACTGTCTCAGTGTGAGGGGGATGAGATGACAACTTGAGCCTCCTGTCAGGCCCTCACTCTGCCCAAGAACCACTAAGAAGGAAACATGGCCATGGGGGGTGGGGGAGAGGCAGCTAGTGCGATGGCAGGACTGTTGAAAAATATACCAGAAACAACCTGACCACCAGAGATGGAAGCTTACCCAAAGCTAGCATTTTTATTTTTTTTTAAATATGTTTTTATTGATTTTAGAGAGAGAAGAAGGACGAGGAAGATAGAAACATTGATGAGGAGAAACAGCAACATCAACTGGCTGTGTCGTGCATGCCCCCCACACCACCACTCCAGGATTGAGCCCACAACCTGGGCANCCACTCCAGGATTGTGCCCTGACTGGCAACTGAGTCTGTGACCTCTTGGTTCATGGGCTGACACTCAACCACTGGGCCATACCAGCCGGGCAAAGCTAGCATTCTTTAAGTCAACAATCCAGAGGAGGAGCCTCATCCTCCACACAGAGAGGAGACGAGGCTGGTGCACAGCGACGCAGAGCCAGCTCCAGCACGGCCACCTGGCGCCTTACCTGGATCATAGACTCAGTGAGAACAGCCTCATTCACCTCCAGGATGACATTCTTAATCTCTTGATAGGGCATGCGGAAGGAACCCAGAAAGATGGCTGCCGGAAAACAAGATATAAAGACATGTTCTCAGTCTCTTCCTCCTTCCAGCCCACCCTACAAACCTCTGCTGGACAATTTTCCTATCAGTCGGTGCTCTTTTAAAGTCTCTATCCGAAACCTCCACCACCTCCACACTGCCTACATAGTTAGATTCCAAGTTCCTGAGTCCACCCAGTGTTTAAGGTTCCCACCTCCCAGCTTTCTCTCTCATTAATCCCTACATTGGTGCCACATACCAGCCCCATTGTTCCAGGCACCACATTCTACAAACACTGTGAGGCCTGCCTTTGCTCCCAGGAAGTCTTTGATCTTCTCTATCTATATACATCAAAGACGTTTGCCCCACTCTATTTTAGTTCCCTACTCTCATGATTCCATCCTTAAAGTGACTGTTGCCTAGAAATGCTCAGATTCTTAACGGCCATATCCCATTTCCTAACAAACACATCCTATCCTTCTAGCTCTCTCACTCACTAATCTCTAAATGGGAGAGCCTTCTGTCGCCCTCCCCCCACTCTCTCTCTCTCATTCTGTCTCTGAAGAGGGCTGATCATTCCATTTTCTCTGAATGAATCAATTCCATCAATTCCTCTTTGCTTTCTCTATTTAACCTAGACTCTATAGTCTATCACTTTGCTCTATACTATTATTCCCATTTCTATTAACTCATTTCTGTTCCTTGTTTCCTTCTCCTTCCAGTCCCTGGTTAATCTGATTTCTCTATTCTTTTACCTGGGCTGATGAACACGCTAGTAAACACTGCAGGTCAGAATCTATGAATTTGTGATGGCACCAATGATGGGTGGGGCCTCAGTGCTGTCTAGTAATCCTCCTAGGTCCCCAGTCCATGCCCTCCTGGCTGTCTTTGCAGCTCCACCAAAATGTCCCCATTCTCCCAATTGTCCTACCCCTTCAGCATCTGTTCTAAGACCTTGCTTGTCTTAATTGAAACGATTGATGAGATTACTTGCTCAGCTTTCTCTTATGCCACCTGCAAACTGAGCATTAGGGGCCCTCAGATGGAGGTAGACAAGAAAAGGCTTGAGTAAGGACTATTTTGGAATCATCTAGAAGAAACCTTGTGCGAACACTTCTGTAAGCTTATCTGCATCTATACTCATGGACTCATCCTTTCCTTATGTTTCAATAGAACAGGGGGCCCTAAGGACCTTCTCCTTTAACATATATACATACTCAAGTTTCTCTCTTCTTTAAAAAAACAAAAGCAACCCCTCCCTGACCAATATTCTTCTCTGTTTACCAACTTCTTTCTTTCTTTCACTTTATAACACTCTAAAAATATGTCTATTGTCTCCTACTTCCGCAGCTTTCACTTATTCTTCTGTCCCCACAAAGTCAATGAAAAGATGACAATCATTTACTGAATGTCCACTCCATATGAGAAACAGTGCCTTAAACACAATCTACATACATGATCTCACTTAATCCTATTCCTAATACCTCTGTAAGTTTGTATTCTTAGTCCCATTTGACAGAAAAGGAAACTAATACTTCCAAGAAGTTGAGCTACCCATCCAAAGCCCTACTGCTAGTAAGGGTTGGAGTCAGAACTTAAATACAAATAGATTCCAGAGCCTCTGTTCTTAACTCCTATGCTATACTGAAATTACTCTTGCCTTGGCTACTGACTTTCCTAATGCCAGACCCAAAACATATTTGTCCAGTCCTGGTTTTACTTGACTCTTGTCTTCACCTGACACTGTGGATAATTCCCACTTCTTAGGACTATTTCATAACATTTTTCTTGCTGCTCCTTGCTAGCCCCTTTTCTTTGAGGCCTCCTCCTTTTATTATTTGCCCCTTAAATATTTTTTTTCAAACTATAAGATAGCATTTATTTATAAAATCCAGAGGTAGGACAGGTAATTCATAGAAGAAATAGGCTTAGGAAACAAGTTATAGAGGCAAAGCAAGGGCCTTTGGAGCTTAGAAATCAGGAAGGTCAAGGTGCTGCACCTGGGGAAGGGGGAGGGCGAGAGGGGGAAGGAAAAGGCGCCGGTGTGCTCCCAGGAAGGAGAGCCGCTGGGTCCTCTGTCCTAATGATTTTAAGGGTGGAGATTTTAAGGGAGGTCAAGGGGAAGATTTCAATAGAATATTCAGCAGCTTTGCAAGTGTATCATTTCAGGATTGTACTATAGTGGAGACTGATTGATTGGTTAGTGCCAGGGCAGTGGGTCATTATTCAATGCAGCTGGTCCTGATGTTAGCCTTGGTGTCCCTTGTCTGGTTTTGCCGCTTTTCTGGGCCTGGAGCTGAAATACAACTGAGGCCTCGATGTTATCTCTTGGGAGGAATGGTCAGGGGTCCAAACTGCATGACCAGCGACATGCTAGAGGAGGGAAGGTCACCCTGAGGATGAGGTCCCACCTACAACTGTCCGTTGCTAGGCATCTGGGGCTTTCTGCCCTGGTGGCCTTCTGTACCTGGCCCATTATCCTTGCTCTGTGCCCCTTAAATATTAATGCCCTTCAAAGCAAACTCATGGCTTCAATTACGACTCATGTGCTATCTCCTAAATTCCTATCTCCAGCCAGACCTTCCTCCTGATTCCTATACCCAAGTGCCTAATACACCCATCCTCTTGGAGGAGTCCCACAGGTGCCTTAAATTCTACCTTAAAATTAAGTTAATCATTTCTACCCGCTACCTCTCATCATATCTACCACCTACCACTTCTCCCAAGAAAGGCAGAACTGCTCCTGCTAGGTTTTCCCATTTCAGTAAATGGTCCATACCATCCCCTAGAGAGTGACATAAACCTAAGAAAACATCTCCTTTAACCCCTCAGTCAATCACTAAGTTCCATCTTATCTTCCAGGCCTTGATCATCTCTGGCCTAGTTTAAAGCAGTAACATAACTCATCTCTGCCTACAGTCTTCCCCTACCTTACACTGCAGCCTCAAAATCATTGCCGAAGTAGCCTTCCAAAAATTACACAAGGTTGTATCATTCACCTTCCTGATTAAAATCCCTTCAGTGACTTTCAAGATAAAAGATATACTTCTTAGCCTAAACCTACCAGAATTTTTTTGTTGTTAAGCCTCACCCAAGGATATTTTTTCCATTGATTTTTAGAGTGGAAGGAGGGGGGCGGAGAGAAAAAGAGAGAGAGAGGAACATCGATGTGAGAGAGACACATCAGTTAGCTGCCTCCTACATACACAACCAGCCCGGGCATCGACCTGCAACCCAGGTACATGCCCTTGACCTGGAATCCAACCCCCCACCATTCAGTGTGGGGGCAGACGCTCTAACCACTGGCCAACACGGGCCAGGGCTAAGCCTACCAGGATTTTTATGACCCAGCCTCTATTCCTTGAGAGCTCCCCACCCCCCACGTGTGCCATTCACTCAGCTGTACTGAGGAACTTGCAGCTCCTGAAGTGCGTGACCTTACCTCATGCGTCTGTGCCTTCATACGTGCTGACGGCTCTGCCCGAGCAAGCCAGCCCTCATCCTTCACTTACTTCTGTTGATAGTTCTTTCAACTCAGTTTAAGCAGAACGTCCTTTAGAATGATCTCTAGGATGTGCTCCCTCTAATACTCCCCCCACTTGATTTAGATGCCCCCTTTCCTAGTGCTCTCATAAGCATCCTAGTACCCCTCCATAACAGCAGTCATCACTCTGAGCTATTACTGTTATTTACTTTTCTGTCTCCACCCAAAGTATGGTTCACGAGTGTAGGGACTATGTCTCACTCAGTTTTATATCCCCAGCACATGAAAGACACTTAATTACTAAATTACATCTCCTAGACCATGCTACCCTAAACTAATCTCAATTCTCTTCCTAAATTCTGTTTTCCATATCGATATCACTCAATTGGAAATAACATTGCACTACCCCACCGTCCTGTACCATTTCCTAAAATAACAATTACTCATGTTTTATGTCCCCAGAGATAAACCTTGAGAAGAGGAATTATGTCACATTACTTCAGTCTCCATAAAAGGACTTACCCACAGATACTATTCAGTAATATTTCTTAACAGTGACGTAAGATTTATAGCCAAGAATAATGTACAGGCTTACTGTTCTCATTATATCAGACTTCACTTGTGGGTATGTGTACTTGTTACTTGTGTGACCTTGACCAAGTCACAACCATTGACCTTAGTTTTCTCATTTGGAAAAACGAGACAACTGCTAGTATGTGCCTAAAAGAGCCTGCAACATGGCAGACCCTCAAATATCTGTTGAGCAAATACTTAAACCTATATTCTTAGGGAGATCAACAGTTGAAAGGTACAAAAAGTGAACATATATTCTGATCGTCAAATAAGTACTACCTATGTCGACTTTGCAGAGTTGTTTCTGGCCTGAAATCTGCCACCAATCAGAGTCATGAGTATAAGTAGCAAGTTCAGAACAGTTCAGTTACATTATTTATCCTAAACTACAAGTTATTTTAGATTTAACTGAAGTCAAGCCAGCACCTGCATTTAAGAGGAAATACTTAAAAGAAAGAAGGAAATGTACAGTACCTAGAGCATTTGTGATAGACTGCCTGTGGATGCAGTGGAAACAGTAAGGGCTTTGAAATAAGAAAATCTGAGGTTCAAATTCCTAGCTATGTGACTAGGCAAATTCCTAAAAGTCTTGGCCTCTATTTACTTGCCATAAAACTATATATTAACAATTTTGCAGAGCTATTGAAGGGATTAAACGAGATAGAAAATTCACTGTGCAATGCCTGACATACAGCAGGGACTCAACAAATGGAAGTTTTGTATCAAGGGATCTTGGATCCACCAGAATTAAGCTCTTAGAAGAAATCCTTCACATTTCAGGTAGTTCAGATCACAGAGTTACTCACAGAGATTCTGGGCCGTCTTTGAATCCAACACCTTCAACTCTTTTACTTTTTTCTTTTGTACAGATTTCTTTTCTTCTCCACCTTCCTGATCCTTCTTGGCTACAAAGGGAAAGATCAGAAAAGTGTCATTAAGGACAAGCCACATCTGCGCCTTATTGAACTAGTGTCCTATCCTGGAAAGGCCTCTCACGTCCCCTCTATTAATGATAGTCTCCTATTATATTCCTTCAAGGCAAACCTCCTCTCTAACCACCCAGCCTTCTACTGACTGACCCCTCCAACTATAAAAAAAAATCTCATTTTCATTTATTTAACAGTTATCAATAATGCTTTCCCATCTACATCTTATCTACTTGCAAGGAGCAGCAAACTTTCTGTAAAGGACCAGATGGTAAATATTTTAGGCTTTGCAGTCTACAAACTAACTGGTCTGGACTATTAAAAAATGTCAAGGTTATGAAAGATAAAGACCAAGAACTGTAATGAGGATTCTGACATATATGTATATTTCTGATGTGCCTTTGCAGGTGATCATAACAAGAATTATTGCCAATTAAAGAAGACTAAAGGACAAGTGAAGACTATGCATGATCCAGGATTTTTTGTGTGAAGAACATCACTGTGACAATTAACAAAATGTAGCCAGGCTGGGCATGGCTCAGCCGTAGAGCATCGACCTTGGATCCAGGAGATCGCAGTTCGATTCCCAGTCAGGGCACATGCCCGGGTTGCAGGCTTGACCCCTATTTGGGGGCATGCAGGAGGCAGCTGATCCATGACGACTCTCTCATCCTTGATGTTTTTATCTCTCTCTCTCCCTTCCTCTCTCTAAAATCAGTAAAGACATATTAAAAATTAAAAAAATCTAAAGGTCAGCTTAAAGTAGTATTACACTAATGTTAATTTCCTAATTTTGATAATTACACTGTAGTTATGGACCTGTTATTTGGAAATGCACACCAAAAGATAAAGAAGCATTGGGTCTGTAATATACCATCATATGGTTCAGGAAAAAAATCTCTCTCTCTCTCTCTCTCTCTCACACACACACACACACACACACACACACACACACACACACACACACAGGAGGATAAGGCAAATGTGATAAAATGTTAACATCTCAGGAATGCGATAAAGTGTGTGTAGGAAACTTCTGTACTATTCTAGCAACTTTACCTTCCATAACTCTGAAATTATGTTCACATTAAAAATTAAAAGAAAAAAATTCTGCAAAAACTGACAATTATAATGCTAAATCCCCAAAGTGGGATTTTTAAACTATGTACTTCTCTCAGTAACTGATAAAACAAGCAAACTAAAAGGATTTAGAAAATTTTAACAACACAATTAACAAATAGGAAATAATAGAGGTATACAGAATACTTAAAAAAAATTTTTTTCCATTTTTTTAAATTGCTTTTGGAGAGAGAGAAAGGGAAGGGGGGGGAGAGAAGGAAGGGGGAGGGAGGAGAGAGTGGGGGGAGACAGAGAAACATCATCAATGTGAGAGTGAAACATTGATCGGTTGCTTCCTGCATATGCCCCCACTGGGGATGGAACCCAAAACCTAGGTATGTGCCCTGACCGGGAATCGAACCTGAGACCTTTCAGTGTAGGGGATGATGCTCCAACCAACTGAACCACACAGGCCAGGGCGAGATATACAGAATACTTAATGCAACTGAAGAACACAGACATGCTTTCCAAGTGCACACAGAACATTCAGAATATTTAGCAATATTCAGAGCTATAAAGGAAAACTCTACAAATTTCTACAGATTGAAATCACAAAAGCATAACCAAATGCAATTAGCTACAAATTAATAAGAAAATTATTAATAGTTCCCCAGGCATTAAAATGAATTTCATACCAAATATGTGAGAATTTAGATGAAGTGAACAAATTTCTAGAAAAATATAACTTATCAGAAGTGACTCTACAAGAGAATACCTGAAAGTCCCTATAACTATGAAAGATATTAAACTGGTAGTCAAATATTTCCTGGGAAACCCAGATGACTTTGCTAGGCAAATATTTCAAACATTCAAGGACTAAATAACTCCCTTAATCTTATGGAAAAACTCTTCCATAGTGTAGAAAAATGAAATATTCTTCAAGTTATATTATGAAGTTAACATAATCTTACTAGCAAAATGTGAAAGAATAATATCTAAAAAATCAAGGGTTACTTTCACTCATAAACACAGGTATGAAATTCCTAAACAAAATACTAGCAAATTGAACTAAGCCATATAAAATAAAAAGGATAATAGAGCATGCCCAAGCAGCCTTATTTTAGGAATGCAAGATTGCTGTAACAGAAGCCAATTAATATGATTTACCACAATTACAGATTAAAGAAAAATTATATATAATTTTAACAGCATAACAAGTATCTAATCAAATTCAATATCCATTCATGATAAATACTCTTAGCAAACTAAGAGTAGAACTTCCTTAATTAGACTAAGGGTATCTACCAGAATCTTAAGGCAAAAACCATGCTTAATAGCAAAATGTCAAAAACTTTCCCTTTGAAGAGGAAGAAAAGAATGTTCATTATCACCACTTCATTGAACAACATTGGCTGGAGGTCTGAGCCAGTGCAATCAGGCAAGAAAAAGAAACAAAAATTCTAAGAATTAGGAAGAAATAACACTCTCATTTGAAGATGATGATTGTCAATATAAAAAAAATCTAAAAAAATCTAAGAATTTATGAGCAAACAAACAAAAAAGAAATAAAAAATATCATAAAATATGAAATATCTAGAAATAAATTTAATAAAAGTTGTGCAAGACCCCCTTCCTATGGAGGGATATAGCTTTACTGAAAAACATTAAAAATGGCAAGTGAATATAGATTTATAGATTCATAGATTAAAAGACTTGATAATGTTAAAACATCAATTCTTTCCAGATTGATTTATATAGTTAGTAGAATAAAAATCCCAACAGGTTTCTGTATGTGCCCCGCCCCCCTGCCCAGGTTTCTGTTTGTAAGTTGACAAGTTGATTCTAAAATTTGTATGGAAATACAAGGTGCCAAGAAGAGCTAGGACACTCATGAGAAAGCAGCAAAAAGTAGGAGATATAAATATATATTATAAAATCATAATAATCAAGATCATGTGGTATTGGCATTGGAATAGACAAGATGACCAAAAAAAGTGTACAATCTAGAAAACAGACCCATGAATAAAGGCTCTTGATATAATAGGCTGAGCATGTCAAATGACTGGGAAAAGAACACACTTCCCAATAAATGGAACTGGAACTAAGTGTCCATATGAAAAAAGAGAAATTGTATCCAAATGCAAATAAATCAATTAAAAATCTTAATGTGAAAGGCAAAACTATAGGATTAATTATCTTGGTGACTAAAAGATTTCTTAAACAAGACACAATATGTATTAATCATAAAGGCAAAGACTGATAAATCTCAGCACTTTTTCATAAAGAAATTCTGTTCATCAAGACACTGTAAAAAAAAAAAAAAAAGGAAAAGACAAGCCACAGGGCTCAGAGAAGATGTTTATGATACACTTAAGTGACAAAGAATTAATATCTAGAATATATAAAGAATTTCTTTTGTTTGGAATATCACCATTAGCAACCCTAATGAACTAATAGGACTATGCACTGAAAATCAATAACTGCTAACATCACAGAAGGGACAACCAGACATTATGTTCTTTCTGAAGAGGAACTTGATACCTATTATGAAGAATTCTTGGCAAAAGGACAAATGGGGCCCCTAGATCCAATTACCAATTTACAGTAAATACAGGATAGAAACTACACTACGGGAATACAATTACAAAATCCACATCATGGGAAGCTCCACAGGACAAATGATACAGTTTTTACAACAAATGACTTAAGGAAAAGAAAGACAAAGAGGAAGAACCTATATATTAAGAGAGACAAAGAAGACATTTTAAAACACAGGCAAAACTATAGTGTTCACGAATATAAACTTGGGTGATAAAGCAAAACAAAATAATACAGAAGTGATTGCCATACCAGTCAGGACAGTGAGTTCTCTTAGAGGGGAAGGAGCATGGGGGTTCCTAGGAGCCTCTTGGAAAATTTCTATCTCCTGACATGTGGAGTTTACATGGGCATTCATCTTATAAAAATTCACTAAGTTGTACATCCATTCTATGTAGCTTTCTCTATATTTATTATATTTAATAATAAAATGTGTAAATATTAAAAGATGACCTAAAAATTAAATAATGATAATTTGGAGGAGAGGAAAAGGAAGGGTAGTATTATAAGTATCATCCTCACTTTTCTAGCAGGGAGGCAACAGATAAAATCTTCAATTTATAAATAAAAATAGGCAAAAGCATATTATTTTTTAAAGTATTACTATACAACAGAGAATGACTCTCATTGAGACTGATAAAAACTGTTTTTTAAAAAGAGTTTAGTGTTCAAGGTAAGAGATGAAGGCATGACCTAAGGTTATAGCAGGGCTGAAGATAAACAGAAATAGATGGATTTGAGAATTATCTAATAAAAAGAATCAAACAGGCTTGGTGTAAACAAATACTGAACTCTTTTAATAGATTTGTTTCAAAGTGGTATGAGCCCAGCAATTCTGAAGGTACTAATGTATTATAAGAATGAGCAAACAAGTAAATATGTTGTGGATAACGGGAGCCAGGTAAAAGGAAACTATGGTGTTAAGTCAGGATAGTGGTTGCTCTGGGTCAGGGGTGGGAGTGTAAGTCACTGGCTGTAACTGGAAGTGGATAATACAAGGAGTTTTCAGTTCTTAGTAATGTTCTGTTTCTTGATCTGAATATTGATTACATGGATGTCAATTTCATTTTTAATTTTGTGAAAATTCACTAACTCATACACATGATTTGTACATTTCAACTTGAAATAAAGAAGAAAAATATATACACACTTCCAATTATAACATAAATGCTATATATACAATATAAGTAAAGATTTCAAGGGCACATGGACAAAATAAAATAGTTTGATTTGTTAAGGTAGTGACATAGTGTAATTATGTGTACATTTTTTTAAGCTGTCATCCACCAGGGAACTGAGAAAGGGAAGACAGGCTTGGGTCT